AGTACATGGGAGTTGCCCATAACTGCTACCGGGTTGGGTGGCGCCAACTTGTCACGGGCATGCTTCTGTCCGGGTAGTTAGGTGTGAGGGTTGTGGCATGCGTTGTTGTGACGCTATCCCCAGGATGTGGATGATGCGTCCATCTCATACCAGGAGTTGACATTGAGGTATAGTCGTAAGACAGTACATCGTGGTCACTAAGGAAAGGTATACCGCCCCAGGCTGGTAAACAGAGCAGGGAAAAGCCCTCGCTCTTGGTAGTGGGAGGATTTCGTATCAGAATTCTGATGTGTCAAAACCTCGCTACAAGCGATAATTCGATCATCTAACGCAACACTTTTTATTTGCTTCACTCATTAAGCATCAAACCTCTTTCCATCACCATACCACAAACACGCAATGCCGTGAATAATCTGATAAATACTTGACGCCCTCGTCTTGGTTCAGCAAGTAAGAGCATCTCCACCGGTAAGTGAGTAAAACGAAACGTAAATCTTTTCGGGCCCGAAAATATAAAATCATGCAGGGTAGCTTTGCTCCTACACATACGCGAGGCCAGAAAGTACGGACTTCTGAGAATTTACGTTTAGTTTTACTCACTTACCCGGGGAGATGCATAATCCTCAGGTACCAAGATTATTTTTTAAAATGGACTTCTTCAACGCTGCTTAGGAATCATGTATCTTACCTTAAATGCTGTGTTTTTGTCCTTTTTACTAAGTAGGGTTTCCGACAAGTACGCCCGTGTAATTATAAACTATCCATATGGCTCCACGACCACTCCGGAAGAAACCAATAAATGTGCGGCACATAGATTGGCTAAGCGAAGACGTAGCACTCGTTGTTTTAGCATTTCTCGAAGATCAGTTCAACGTTGGTTAATCTGCTCTTCTCTTTAAGCTTTAAACTTGGACTGGTAGTGCGCCTAACGAACTCTGCAAAATCTATGACTGACTTTAAATTTGGAATGTGCTATCGCTATAATGGACTTCTCTTTCTTTTAATCTTTATCGATTGAAATCAAATACGACTTATCACCCCTCTACTGGAGTGTGATCTTCGTCAGTCCGTCCGAGGATAGAGTTAATAAAACTCACGCTAATACTGCTACGCGCGTTCTACTTGCTGTCGAGCGCAGCTCAGGCGGCCCCCATTGGCTAAAATCGGCATTGTGTCTTGTACACACTGTACGTGGACTACACATCGTACTTTAAAGCACCGTTTAAATCTTATTTTGCTCTCATTTTCAGCTGCGCAAATGGCGCTGCCTGTGTGTGCGCTAGTTAGCATTAGTAGAAGGCGCCGAAGAGCACACACGTACTATATCGTCGTAGGAACTGTTGTAAGAAATCGTTGGCCTTGGTGACTTATACTTCGGCTTTAATGGGATCTTTAGTACTTTTTGATTATAATATGGATTGTTCTTCGTGGTACTTTTAATTTTTTTTTACTTACTTTACCTTTTTGCTTAGTACTACTACCCTAAATATATTTATATATTTACATGCATTTTTTTAGTAGTACAAGCTTAGTAGATCGGCGCTAGAAGAATACATAGTGCTATTACTAGTATTTAGAACTTGAACCTTTTAACCACAGTGGTCCCACAAACACCACTCGCTGGCGCGAAAAAAAGAGAAATCTTTTATTATTTGCGCAAGTAGCGTGTGACCCTAAGAGTGCGTGCGCCCTTTTGATCGACGATGTCGTAGTTTACATCACACTCTCTGTCAACATTAATTTGCAATAGAACTGCCGCCGCAGGCACGGAGTTTAAGCGCTTAGCGCGAAACGCAGAAGGACACCGAACTAGACTATGTACACGACGGGATAGAAGGAGCAGCACGAAGCACGGAAGGCTGCAGGCGATAAGAGGGGGCTTAACCAATACAGGTCACAACTTTTTTTGCGAAGCACGAGCCACGGAAGCAAACTCGCAGCCATGAAAAACACGGTAGGACATGAAATGAAGGAGGCGGATGACGACTGAAATAATGACATCTTACATGCTGAGACCCACGGTTCACGAAAGAGCACACACGTTTGAAGCCACGGAAGAGCACGTAGAGTGAGCGAAAAGAAATTATTCCATACCACCACGGTAAGGCAACGGAGCACGGTCGACGAGCCAAACATGAAGCCGAGGGGGACCATAAACGGAGGGTCACCGAGCATTGAAAAACGAAATTAGGGTAAGAATCAGAGGATATGATACTACGGTAGCTAACGAGAGCACAGACGACAGACCAACCAAGACACCCCAAGATAGCACGATAGCATGGACGGTGCCACTAAAACATGGGAGAACGCAGCCACGGGAGCTATAGACGGGAGATCACCGATCTACGGAGTACGGTACCAGTGTTGAGCCTGAACTTACCGAGCTACACAGGACAGTACAACATTAGAACACAATCGCGCGGACGGCGGACCCGACACGAAATACACGGGGGGGGGGAGCGCTTGGTATGACCACAATTACACACCGTGGAGCACGATAACATCGTCAAACACGATAACACGGGCAACGCAGACTTAGGGTCACACGCCACTTGCGCAAATACAAAAGAATACTTTTTTTTCGCGCCAGCGAGTGGTGTTTGTGGGACCACTGTGGTTAAAAGGTTCAAGTTCTAAATACTAGTAATAGCACTATGTATTCTTCTAGCGCCGATCTACTAAGCTTGTACTACTAAAAAAATGCATGTAAATATATAAATATATTTAGGGTAGTAGTACTAAGCAAAAAGGTAAAGTAAGTAAAAAAAAATTAAAAGTACTACGAAGAACAATCCATATTATAATCAAAAAGTACTAAAGATCCCATTAAAGCCGAAGTATAAGTCACCAAGGCCAACGATTTCTTACAACAGCTCCTACGACGATATAGTACGTGTGTGCTCTTCGGCGCCTTCTACTAATGCTAACTAGCGCACACACAGGCAGCGCCATTTGCGCAGCTGAAAATGAGAGCAAAATAAGATTTAAACGGTGCTTTAAAGTACGATGTGTAGTCCACGTACAGTGTGTACAAGACACAATGCCGATTTTAGCCAATGGGGGCCGCCTGAGCTGCGCTCGACAGCAAGTAGAACGCGCGTAACAGTATTAGCGTGAGTTTTATTAACTCTATCCTCGGACGGACTGACGAAGATCACACTCCAGTAGAGGGGTGATAAGTCGTATTTGATTTCAATCGATAAAGATTAAAAGAAAGAGAAGTCCATTATAGCGATAGCACATTCCAAATTTAAAGTCAGTCATAGATTTTGCAGAGTTCGTTAGGCGCACTACCAGTCCAAGTTTAAAGCTTAAAGAGAAGAGCAGATTAACCAACGTTGAACTGATCTTCGAGAAATGCTAAAACAACGAGTGCTACGTCTTCGCTTAGCCAATCTATGTGCCGCACATTTATTGGTTTCTTCCGGAGTGGTCGTGGAGCCATATTGATAGTTTATAATTACACGGGCGTACTTGTCGGAAACCCTACTTAGTAAAAAGGACAAAAACACAGCATTTAAGGTAAGATACATGATTCCTAAGCAGCGTTGAAGAAGTCCATTTTAAAAAATAATCTTGGTACCTGAGGATTATGCATCTCCACGGGTAAGTGAGTAAAACTAAACGTAAATTCTCAGAAGTCCGTACTTTCTGGCCTCGCGTATGTGTAGGAGCAAAGCTACCCTGCATGATTTTATATTTTCGGGCCCGAAAAGATTTACGTTTCGTTTTACTCACTTACCGGTGGAGATGCTCTTACTTGCTGAACCAAGACGAGGGCGTCAAGTATTTATCAGATTATTCACGGCATTGCGTGTTTGTGGTATGGTGATGGAAAGAGGTTTGATGCTTAATGAGTGAAGCAAATAAAAAGTGTTGCGTTAGATGATCGAATTATCGCTTGTAGCGAGGTTTTGACACATCAGAATTCTGATACGAGATCCTCCCACTACCAAGAGCGAGGGCTTTTCCCTGCTCTGTTTACCAGCCTGGGGCGGTATACCTTTCCTTAGTGACCTCGATGTACTGTCTTACGACTATACCTCAATGTCAACTCCTGGTTTGGGATGGACGCATCATCCACATCCTGGGGACAGCGTCACAATAACGCATGCCACAACCCTCACACCTAACTACCCGGACAGAAGCATGCCCGTGACAAGTTGGCGCCACCCAACCCGGTAGCAGTTAGGGCGTGTTCGCGTTGTGCCTGGAGATGGAGATGGTCCCATCTCACAAAATACGTCTAACAATTGATTGGCCAAAAACCATTTGTTACAACTGCACAACTGGAGATTAGAGGTGATATCCTTCTCCACCTATTGGAGGTGGAGACAGGAGACGGAGGTAGAGACGAGAGGCTCACAATTTGTTATGGAGGCGGACATTGAAAACGTTTTGCTAGCTGTGTGTGCTGCAGTAGGACAAGCGGCTGTACTACTAGCCACCGACGACGAACCCGCCACTAAGAAAGGGCCAAAGCAGGTTCTTACGGTCTCTTCGCTTAAGTTTGAGCCTATGCTTCAATCTGCAGCCCACTCCAGCTGGTTTGAAGATAATCTTCGCTGCACACAGACTACATTCTTGCGGATTGCAAGTTTCTTAGCGCAACATGGAGTTCTTTTCGCGTCAGCAAAAGTCAAGCAGCATTCGTATAATAAGAAGGTGGCTGCTTCGTTGTATTTCTTGGGATCTTCCGGTGGTTATCGTGAGACGGGTGCTGCAATGGGGATGTCGCGAAGTTACGTCATGGAGATTACGAGTGAAGTAGTACGTGTGCTGAAAATCGTGGCACCCCAAGTTATCTCGTTCCCTAGTAATCGAGAGGAGTGGAATGCTGTCGAGGCTGGGTTTGCATCCAAGCACGGTTATCCTGGTATTGCTGGCGCGATTGATGGTTCCTTAATCGAGATAGAGCGCCCTGATAATTTTGATGGTTTCTACTGTCGTAAGGCATATCCTGCCTTAAACATGCAAGCTATTGTGACATCGGACGGCTTTTTTTTAAGTGTGGACGTGAGACCTGGCTCCTGGTCGGACAGTAAATGCTGGCAATATAGTACTATTGGCCGCTCAGTTGGCAATGTACTACCCGCTGGCAAACATTTTATTGGGGATGCTGGTTACGCACTGCTTCCGTGGCTTATCGTTCCCTATTGTGAACGTGAGGAGGGTGGGCGACTATCACAGCAGCAAAAGCAGTTCAATTTCTTGCACTCGAGTACCCGCATGGCAGTGGAGTGCACATTCGGTCGCTGGAAAGGAAGATTTAGAATGTTGCAATGTGCTTTGAGCCAGGAAACAGCACGGCGCTCTGCAAATTTCGTTGTTGCTACAGTTGTTCTCCATAATCTGATGAAGATTTATCGAGATAGTGCCCAATTCCCGCTGTTTCGTGAGCGTGGGAATGAAAATGCTGCCGCAGACGATGACATTCCCTCGATAAATTTGCGCAATATTGGACTTTTAAAGCGAAATGCTATTGCCAAGATTATTTGCCGGAGCTAGCTGCTTTGCATAACCTTACAGGTTGTTGGTTGTATTCGCGTTATTGCTATCGCTGTTGGACGATAGATACTGCAAAAGATTATTAACTGCCTGTGTTTGCGCCTGGACAGTTTTGGTCAATTCTTGAAGCGAGCTCAGTATCTCGCAGCTCTGGGTTTCATCGCGTTGGGTTCGGGCAGCTTTAAATGCGGCGGCAATGTCACTGAGGCCATTGCCAATTGCCTTCATGCCTTCTTCCTTTCCCCGGTTTCTTTTTCCGCTGTATCGTCTCCAACCTGTTGATTGACCTCCCTCGTTAACGCCGTTAACGTTGCTTCCCACTCCACTTGATCTATCATCACTTTCCACTACTCGTTGCACCTCCGTGGCCTGCTCAATCCCCAGCGAAGATGCGTCGCTTGAGAAGAACGGTTCTGCCCCCATGCCTTCCAGATCTCCCCAAACATCAACCATTGTGTCGTAGCATGGAGGCTCATTAAGTGGCCTCTCAGTAGCGTTCCCTGTGGCTTCCAGCGCGACTCGATACGCCGTGTATTGCTTGTGCATGTGCTTCAGCTGTAGCAATATCCCATGAACTTAGCAGCTTAGTGACGTATAATGTAGCGCTAGACTCATACACAGTACCTTTGACTTGCACTGGGTAGCATCAACCTCGAGGCCACCAATACGGTGAGTCTCCGCAGCTAGGTAATCCCACGCAGCACTCAGCTGCTTCGAGTTCTTAGTGCCATCAAACAACCCCTTCAGGCTATCGAATCGCAATCTCAGCAGCACCTCAGCCGCATTTACTGTCCACGCAAATGGGTGCTTTGTCTCGTTCCTGCCTTGATTCCTGCGGCGTGGTGCGCGCTGACCACTGCTGGTACGAGTGTGTACCGGTATGATAGCTGCGTCGTCCTCTGGTCGAGTGGGGTCTTCAGAGGTTAATTGCAACATTCTCTGTACTGCAGGAGAGCGTGGAGATGAGGATGTGACTTCTCGATTCTAGGTTGTGAGTGCCGTGTCCACACATGGTATCGGCACCTGATTGGTTTAAAGTGCACCTGGAGAAGGATACGTAACGACACAACTGGAGGTGGAGATCGTAGTACACCACAATCATCTTCATTTCCAGGCACAACGCGAACAGGCCCTTATGGGCAACTCCCATGTACTTAAAGTCGACTTGGCCCACACTTCGAAAACCGCCTTGCTTTTTTTCAACATTGGTCACAATAAAAGGCATTTTCACCGTCAGAGCAAAACAAGAGGAAAAAGTGGACATAACCAATTCACACCCTAAGCGCTTAAATTAGTGCAGTTTGCTGACCAGACGGGATTTAGTCGCCATACAAATATCAAGTGGTCCCGATTAAGCGCCGGTTATATTTGATTGGATGTCAGTTTAAAACTGGACTTGTTTTAGCACTGTCCTGTACGACTTTATCGTGCGCTCGTTTTGTCATCAATCAAATTTGGTCAGAACGGTGGAAAATGCCCTAAGAAGGGCCCGACGTCAAGTAAGACTGGTTGAGTAAAAACTCGATTAGTCGAGCTCACCCTTTTTGGCAATCGATTTCTGCAAATCTGAGGCTCGAAGTTGACACAGAAGGTTTCCAATTAAAGATACTAATTCAGGCGCTCGTTATTTTTACCGACTAGATTGCACGAGACTTCCACCTCATTACCGACTGGGATGCCCGGAGCTACCCGACAAAGCGAGAGCCAGACAGGTCATCACTCGATGCGTCCTCGAAAGTATACGTATAGCTGAACGCTCATCTCCAAGCTCTAAAAAGGCACAGCATCAACACATGGCCTATTGTAGTCAGAAAGACATGTACCTAGATCATTTGGGGATGTTCAACTTTATAAGAAATCGAGGTATCGACATTAATCGTGTCTGTCCTCTCGACGAACAGCTTCGACATACCATGTTTACGTTGCAGTCGCCCAATGCGGACTTGCTCAGTAGTTGCAGTGACTGTACCTGCACACTACGATATAGAATACATGAAGGTTAATACTTACTTAGAGTACTGAGGCTGAGGTACTTGTATTTGAGCTGACAGAAGTCGAACCAACTTAAACTAAAAAAAAAAGATATCGTGATCTGGCTCAATCTTTAATTGTTCGGACTTTTGCTGTGTAAATTAATCGTTTCTATCCAGTCCATTATTGCCTTGCCCACATGCTGGGCGCTCTTCATCGCTTTCTTTCCCTTTTCATCACATTCAGAGTCTTTGTAGCGAAGATTTACGCCACTTACTTCTACCGCAAGTCCTGTACGCGCGTCAGCTCCTTCCACGAAGAGGTACCTTTTAAATTGCTACGACTTTGGCTTGGCACTTTTGACCCTTCGCATAGTGCGTGTGTTTGATTGGGCAGGATCTTTTTTTGCAGGAGGCAGCCTTGCTTTTGTGGACAACTGGAGATCTGGGACTTTTTGCTGAGCTCGAACCGCTTGAATTGTACTAGATTAACTGCCAATTTATCGTAAGTAGGCTGATTTTCATCTGCCTCTTACACGACTAATATACTTAAGCCCAACACATACATCTATGAGTCAACTTGAGCCATCGCAACCTTTTTTCAACGTACAGGTTTTCTTGGGCTTACCTGTTCGTTTTGGCCTACCACGAGATCTTGATGGATCAAACGTGCAATCTCCACCCGATTCCAGAGTAGAACGGCATTCACCAGGCCAACTAGACGGGCTACTCGACGCACCAGACTGGCCACTCGATGCATCAAGCAGAATACCCGACAGACCAAATTGGCTACTCTATGCGTCAAACTGAGCACCCGACTCACCAGACAGGCTTGTTGACACTCCACCAACGCCCAGCACACAACTAGTGTGTGCCCGGTCCGTATCAGCTACAGTGATACCCAGTGAGTCAGAGCTGCTAAATCTTGAAACGGCGAGCAACGTCCTTCAAATATGTCACGGCTTACACCGAGCTTGTACCATCTCAAGTCCAATCATCGAGTCGCATATCTCGCTGGCAATAGGTATAGCTGCCCGATAATTACGACTGGAGTCTCATCGATGCTAATCTATGACCACCACTCGACGAGCGGAAAAGTTTCTAGGGAAAGTGGATTTTCACTTGGGCTCTCAAATTCCACTGCCAAAGGGTGTTTCGCTTCAAGATGGGAGAAGGCTTAAAAGTACTTGTTTTAGCCATAGTGTGTGCTAAACTGTAGTGCTCAGTAGTAGATACTCTTTACATGATGTTTTCAAACTAACGTAGCACCTCAAACAAAGAAAGCATAAAGGCCGAAATAGCTATTTACCGAGATAGAGAGAGGGTATAGGAGCTGCTTATTTGGCGGACAGGATCGCAAGTTAGCTAATCACTGGTAATATTCATGGAAAAACTTACAGAATCAACTTTTTGGCATGAGTTTTTCGGATCAATCATTTGCGTCGAAAAGCGGCTTTCTAACTGGACGCCTAGAAGAGAGGATCCACAGGCACTCTTCAGCGTAGTTAGTAAGTGTGTGACGTTAAAAATTCCAAGTGAACTCTAGCTACTACTAGAAGTAGGAAGCTCACACAAACGACCATTCGGGCGGATCTGAAGACCTTAGTTCTGCCCTTGCACCGGGACAGACTGGGTCTTGCGAACTATTTATATTGACCAATCAGTGAAAAAAAGAAAAGCTTCTAGCACCAGCAAAGCTAGCAGGTGTTGGTCCCAACAGCGAAAGGGTTCCAGACACGGGCAAGCCTTGTTTATATGAGGGCACCGAGTGTTCAGCACTCGGATCGATGCAATAAAAGCACTTCTAGCCGTGCAAACTGCTACAGCAACGCCGTCTCGTAAGCCTCCTGATAGGAATTGGCTAATACACACACAGTCTCTTGGCCGTGCCAGATGAGCCCTCGCTCCAGAGCTTCGAGTCCACTGACAGGCATAACAAGCTTGAGCAGACGCTTACCTTGACGCCGGACCTCACTTTGTGCGCTTGAGAGGAGATTATATTTTGTATTTGTATTGCCCTTTTGGGTCTGTTCCTAATATGCAATCCTAATCAAGCATACAAATATCTAGTGAATGATTCGCTGTGGATCTTCTAGCATGCTAAGCGACGCTGTCACCGTCGAATGAGCCTCTTCACCAGTCAGCATCCCTTCTTAGACTGTAATTGAGCACTCAAAAGGCCGTGAAGACTTCCATGAGGGTCTTGATACCGTGCCTGGCTAGTTCTTGGCCGCTCAATGCAAATCCGGCCAGTCCATTAATAAAAATAAGATTGAGTGAGATATTGGCTATTACTGTATGCTCCTAAACTCTCTTTAGTGACATCGTCGAGCCTCTTGCACAATGGGGTCACCCTACACAACGGCATTGAGTGTTCGTAGATGAAAAATCTTAAAGGCGATCAGGTCTTTGTGCGCTGGCATCGTGGATACATCACTACACCACAACTGCCCGTCGCAATGAGAGCTACCGAAACGGCGACCGGGGGACTCGCATGTTACTCCATGTCGTTCGATTTAACACCCGTGACACTATGTCTCGGCATGTCACACAGGCTGACACCCATGTTGCTGCGTGTCGAACGGGTTGCCAATGATGTCACATGTGTATATTTGTCATTGCCTATCAGCCTGCGGGACCGGGGGTGCTCGAAGTCTAAAGCAAGCTTATAGATCTGGAAAGAGAACTGTACAGAACAGCCCGAATGGTATTCACACATTCCATACATGTACTGAAAATTTGATACGCCGCTGACGTGAGGGACGTAAGGAAACATTGTCTATAATCTTATACGCATACTTGCTTAATACGTTCTCTTGAGCTTTGAGTATGTAAAACCTGGAGTACTTGTCACGCAAAGTCAATATGCTACAACGGTTGTACCCGTAAAGTTTTATGGGCATAGGTTGTATTACAACCTGTACTACATTTATTATTAATAGGCATAGATTGCGTATGAAATTGCTTTAATTCTGGAGACCTATATGAGTTTTTCCCGCACGACGGGTAATTACTCACTCTTATTTGCTT